CCCTGAGAAAACCATAATTCAAAAAGAGTCATGTACCAAAATGTTCATTGCAGCTCTATTTACAATAGCCAGGAGATGGAAGCAACCTAAGTGTCCATCAACAGATGAATGGATAACGAAGATGTGGCACATATATACAATGGAATATTACTCAGCCATAAAAGGAAATGAAATTGAGTTATTTGTAGTGAGGTGGATGGACCTAGAGTCTGTCATACAGAGTGAAGTAAGTCAGAAAGAGAAAAACAAATACTGTATGCTAACACATACATATGGAAACTAAGAAAGAAAAAAAAAGGTCATGAAGAACCTAGGGGTAAGATGGGAATGGAGACACAGACCTAGTAGAGAATGGACTTGAGGATGTGGGGATGGGGATGGGTAGGCTGTGACAAAGTGAGAGAGTGGCATGGACATATATACACTACCAAACGTAGAATAGATAGCTAGTGGGAAGCAGCCGCATAGCACAGGGAGGTAAGCTCGGTGCTTTGTGACCACCTAGAGGGGTGGGATAGAGAGGGTGGGAGGGAGGGAGACGCAAGAGGGAAGAGATATGGGAACATATGTATATGTATAACTGATTCACTTTGTTATAAAGCAGAAACTAACACACCATTGTAAAACAATTATACTCCAATAAAGATGTTAAAGAAAAAAAAATAGAATCCGCCTGCCAGTGCAGGGGACACAGGTTCGTGCCCTGGTGTGGGAAGATCCCACATGCCGAGGAGCAGCTAAGCCCATGGCCCACAAATACTGAGCAGCCTGCGCTCTAGAGTCCACGAGCCACAACTACTGAGGCTGTGTGCTGCAACTAATGAAGCCCGCGTGCCTAGAGCCCGTGCTCTGTAACAAGGGAAGCCAGTGCAATGAGAAGCCCCTGCACCGCAACTAGAGAAAAGCCAGCGCACAGCAACAAAGACCCAACGATGCAGCCAAAAATAAAATAAATAAAATAAATAAATTAAAAAAAAATTACTGCTTGACTGAGGAAGACAAATATTATTTTAAAAAAAGGGAATAAAGTTTTGGATAGAGAGACTAATCATAAACCTGGTAAACTTGTTTTAGGGGAACTTGGTTTCATTTGTTTCCCAAAAGTTTCCATATTTGTTGTGTACTGAATGTACCTTTCAAATATATTACTGGGTTTTTTTTTGTCTCCTAAAGTTTTATTGTCTTGTGCAGAGTCATCATACTATGTCTAAATATTTCAGGTGATAAATGATGCAGTTTATCTCTTGGCAAGTGTCTTTCAAGGCTACACTGTAGTTTTTGCTGCCATCTCCTTGGCGTCTCAGATGATAAAGATGATATATTGATTAATAGACAAATCACCTGAAGTAGGAGTTCCAGCAGTTATTATATGACAAACTTAGTCCTGTCTGGTATTATACCTACTAAAGCCAAATACATTCCTATATATTTTCTGCCTCCAGAAACTTGAAGGAAGCCTGTGTCTTTGCTTTCCTCACTTTTAGCAGCCTCTGCTTGGTCCAGTTCTGCTGAGTTTAGGTCTTGTTTCTCTGCTCAGCCTTTATGTTGGCTGTATAAAATTACATAGTTAGACATAGAAGAAAATGAAGAGGAAGCATTACCCAGTCAGACTGCCTGGGTTGGAATTCCTGCTGTGCCACATACTGCCATGTAACCTTAGGTGTGTCACTGAGTATTCCAGTTGCCATTTTAAAACCTCACTCCTTTTTACTTTACTCTTGAATTGTGTTTATTTTATTAGACGTATTGAAATGCTTTCTTAAACAAGACACGTTATAAATAAGAAGGGGGAAACTAACTTTTTATATTTATTTTATATCTGGTCACCTTCATGAGTTTTTATCTTGTTTTAGACTTCTAATAGTTTCTAATAGAGAGACAGTTACTGAACGCCTAGACTTTGGGATAAGACAGATCTGGGTACAAGTCCTGTCCCTGTCACTTATATCTGTGACCTTGGACAAGTCACTTCAGCTCCCTGAAACAGTTTTCTCAGCTCTTACTTTCCTTATGTGAGTATCATGAGGATTAAGTATAATAGATAGTGCATCATATTGTGAAATTTATATAGTAAGTTCCCTATAAATGTTAGGTCATGTAATTTTCATTGAGTAATTATCTTGAATTTCCTAAATGCCCAAACTTACTGTCTACATATAATAATAGTATCTTACAGGATTATTTCTGGCATATTTCTTAATATACTGACTCGAACTTCCGGGAGAATTTGGAAATATTTATTGAAACTATTTTAGGTATTCTTATTTTATTCTTAATTTTAATGGGAAAATCTTTAGCTTTTACCCATAAGTAAGGTATTAGATGTTGGTTAAGATTTTTTTTATCAGTTATTTAGATTAATGTCTACATTTTTATTATATATTTTCTATATTTTATTTTTTGTTATATTTTGAGTATGGCAGTCAATTGGGTAACTTCTTTTTTCTATGTTCTTTTCCTTGAAGTTTTGACATATCTCACCTACTAAGTTATTTGAGTCTTTTCTGAAGTTGTTTCTTTGAAAATGTTTTTATTTTGTCATTCAATTATTGGCTTTTTCTAAAATAAAAAAACCAGAACTGTCCATTTGAAGTTCTAAAATTTATTTAAGGGTTGACATGTAGTATTCATTTATAATTTAAAATTTTTCATATTTATTTTATCCCTTTTCTCTTTTTAAAGTTTTTTTCTCCTTTTTTCTTTGATTAAATTTTCCAGAAAGTTGCCATATTTTACTGTATTTTATTGGTTTTTCTCAAAAGAACCAGATTTTAAATTTTATTTCATTTTTCATTCTACTGCTTTTCTCTTTACTGATTATTTCTTTTTATAACAGCTTTGAGGTATAATTTACATATACCAAAAATTTGCCATTTTAAAGTATGTAGTTAAGTGATTTTTAGTATATTCACAAAATTCTGTAACCATTTGATTCATTATGTTAAACATTTTTGCTTTATTATTTTTTCTGCTTTCTTTGAGGTTGCACGTTTTTGTTCCTTTTCTTGCTTGTTAGGCTAATATTCATTTTTATTCCTTTAAAAATAATAAAATAATTTTGACTGTGCATTTACCCCCTTAATGTAACTTTGGCCACATCCAATAGATTTTGTAATGTAATTTAATCAATTTTGATACCATTTTAAATTAATTTGTATAGAAAAGCTTAGTATAGAAAAGCATAAAGAAAATTTTTAAAATCACATGTAACCCACCATCCAAGTATAAATACTGTCTGTATTTTGGCTTATTTGTTTCCAGTCTCTTTTATTTTTTGAAAATATAACTTAAAATTCATATCTACAAATATATACTTTACCTGAGTGGATCATATTATATTTAATTGTATATCCTTTGTTTTAGTTAACATTATATTGTGAATATTATCCAGGTCTTCAAAAACAAAGTTTTGAAATTGGCAACTTAGTATTATATCACATGAATGTAATATTTATTTTAGTGGCTTGTAATTGTTTCATTTTATAAATGTTACAGGATTTTCTTATAGTGGATCACTGAAAGTTGATAATCAGTGGGAGGGTTCCTGATACATACTATGAAACTTCCTTCCAGAATTATAAATATTGGCATTATATGAGTACTTCCCTCACTACACTGTCAGCATTAAATATTGAAATACATATCTGAATTTTTAAACTGTCTTCAAAATACCATAATAATAATATATTCTTTGCTCCATTGGATCTTAAGTATTTCATCTTTAATATCTGCTGAACTTTGTGAGAAGAATTTTACTGTTTATTTGTGTCTGGAAACATCATAATGGAAGGTAGTTTATATTCAATAAATTTAGTATACTTTTGAATTGGTTATGTTATACTCTGGAGTATCTTTATGCTGTCAGTTAGATTTTATTTAATAGCCTTTGGTGAGTTATATTCTACAAGATGGCTGGGTATAATTTGAGCTGGGAGATAGGTGGAGAGTTAATCTTCAGCCTAGAGTACAGATTGTCCTTTGAGTTAGTTTAAATAACAAATTATTCTCAACTGTTTCTGGGGGCAGCCAAACTGCCCACAAATAATTCCAGGAGGATAAATAAAGACACAGAGGTTGGTATTGGGGGACAGCTTCATGCTATGGGATTCGAACAGTCCTATGCACTGCAGATCTCCCCTGGCTCATCATATGCTGAATGGTTATGGCCAATGGTTTAAGTGAATACAAATTTTAAAATGTTGCAACCTCTATTCCCCTGACCTTGCGTTTCTAGGTAGTGGGGCCTTCATGAGACTAATACGTGGTTTGACCTACCTCTTCATCTAGTGGGAGGGACCAGTCTGATTGAGATTGGGAGAAGAAACGAGTTTGTGTGGTTTACACCCTTTTGAGCCTTCTTTCTTTCAGAGTAGACTATCCTCAGTTTTCACATGATCTTTACTTACAGAGGCATTTCCATTCCTTAATGGGAGGAGGCAGGTTCAATCCAGGGATGAAAAGACTAGGTGAATATGTTTAATTTAGAGGTAAAGTTATTGAGAAGTTCACTTGGCTGTTGATTTAAGCTACAGTCGCCAATTCATCTCCACTCATTTACACAGTTGATATTCTGATCTCCATTTTTCTGACTCCACAGTCGTCTTTTCTCATTTGGTTTTGGAACTCAGGGACAATGATAAAGGAGTGATTAATTGTTACCACTAAAACTCTGATAGGTTGTTTAAATCTGTTAATTATAAACACTGTATAAATTAGTGGGTTTTTTAAAAAGCTAATCTGAGAGGTAGTCTTTTACTTGAAGAGTATAAACAAACCATTTACATTTATAATCGTAACTGACATATTTGGCTGTTATTCCATCAGTTTGATTTATGCTTTTATGCTTCAAGATGCCACTGAATGTATTTAAGGTCATTTTGGTTAAATGGGTCTAATTGGTAGCAAGTCTGTTTGCTAATTAATTAATTTTGTGTGTGACCTTACATTGCCTAGGCTTTAAAGGTACTTATATCGATAACATTTTATAGGTGCTCTTCCAGAATTGAAAGAAAAGGAGGCGCAGCCACCACCAAAACCACGTTCTGGAGCTGTGGAAGGGACATTTAGAATTGTTAAGGACTCTCTCAGTGATGATATTGTTAAAGCCACTCAAGCAATCTATCAGTTTGAACTCTCAGGTAAGGGTTACTTCTGGTAATCTGGAGCTTTTATGAAACAAAGTAGGATATTTCCCTTGGAAGTATATCAGCCTCCAGTAGTAATAACCTGGTATAGTTGGCTATATCCAGACCCTTACCCGAGAATGTAGACATTTAAGAATAGCAAATAACTACTGATTTGTATTTTTGTGTTTTCTTTTTGGTTTTTGTCCGTCTATTAAGTTCCTGATTTGTGGTTACCATGGGGTTCATATATGTTGATCCATAATTATGTCTATTTGTTTTAAACTGGTATTTCCACATATAGGTGATAGACCTGTTTTCTGCTTGGTTTTTTTTGTTTGTTTTTGTTTTTTTTGTGGTACACGGGCCTCTCACCGCTGCGGCCCCTCCCGCCGCGGAGCACAGGCTCGGACGCGCAGGTCCAGCGGCCACGGCCCACGGGCCCAGCCGCTCCGCGGGCATGTGGGATCCTCCCGGACCGGGGCACGAACCAGTGTCCCCCGCATCGGCAGGCAGACTCTCAACCACTGCGCCACCGGGGAAGCCCTCTACTTGTTTTTGTAGTTCTTCTCTGTTCTACCAATTTGTATTTTTAAGTTAATATCAGTGCATATGGACATATGTAAAATAAAATTCCCTTACAGATACTTCCAGTGGTAAATAACTCTATAGTGTATGTAATTGAGAGAAAATCCTATTTAGAAGGATATATGGATCATGACAGATAGTATAATACAGTCATTTATCAACCATGCGCACCTTGCCTGTTTATTTTTTTTGGCTGCACCACGGGCTTATGGTATCTTACTTCCCTGACAAGGGATTGAACTGGGGCCCACAGCAGTGAAAGTGCCGAGTCCTAAGCACTGGACTGCCAGGGAACTCCCTTGCCATTTTTTACCTTTGAGATTATTCAGGTCAGTCTGAATGCAGTCAGCTTTTAAAATCTCTCAGTATTTTTCTTCTCAGCATAGTATTAATGCATGTTGACAAGAGTTTTAAGAATTAGCTACCACAGTCCCATTGTATGCAAACTTTGACATTATCAGTTCTTTTATCCTTTGTCACCTCTATTTTATCTTAATCCATCTGCATCTTCCTGTTTTTACTTTTCTTAGAACTCATGGTCCATTGGTTCAATCACTCTTTTACCTGTATCCTAAACTTCCTGACCTTGTGCTTATGTCACCAACTGTCATAATCCTAGTCCTGGATAATCAAACTCTCTGGCTGCTCCACACTTGCATCCAGGCTGCTAAGTCTTGCTGGAGAAATGGCAGGGGGTGGGGGGTGGAATCACACCACCCAGTGAATCTGTACCAGTAAAAATTCATCACTCCTCCTCTCCAATGTCAGCATTCTGTGTTTCTGTGGTCAGCTTATTGCCTCATTTTCCACAGTGACTCTTTTAAACCTCTCAGTGTTCCTCAAGTCTCCCATCTCTCCCTTCACCACTTCCCTGCCAGTTTCAGCAGATAAGGTGACCTCCTCTTCCACAGAGATAAGAGGAGCCTACAGACAGGAATTGCTTCACCTTCCTGCCATCTGATAGCATACTGTTGTAGGCATTGACCTCTCTTCCTCTCCCAACAGGCAGAGCTCAACTCCTCATCCGTGCATCCTAAGCTTTAATGTCCATACTGATCACCGCTGGGCATGCTAAAAATGCAGAATCTGATTCAGTAGGTTTGAGGTAGGGTCTGAAGTTTGCTTTTCTGATGTGATGACGGTACTGCAGTTCATGGATCACACTTTGAGTAGCAAAGTTCTAGATCCCATTTCCTCTGGTCTCCTCAGGAAATGTGTGCTGTCTCTTCCACCTGTTCATCCTGAAGCCTCCTTCCCAGTGGTTTTTTAACATTCCCAAAGTCTATTCTATCTTTTAAAAAAAACCAACAGTAACAACCTTCCCAGTCACACCCCCCACCCCCCATCTTTCTTCTCCCTTTCAGAGCCAAACTTATTTTCATCTACAATTCACTCTGTTCTGGTGTCATTTTTCTCCATTCCACTGAATTTGCTCTCACCAAGGTCCTTGGTGGCTTCTGTGTCACCAGTGGGCATTTGTCATTCTTACCTTGTCACCACTTTGCAACATTTGATGCTGTTGACCTCTCTTTCCTTCTGGAAACGCTCCGTTGCTTTTTTCTGCGTCTGTAATCATGTCTTGTCAGTTTCCTGTGCTAGATGCTTCTCCATCCTTTCCTTAAATGTTGATATTCTTCAGGTCACTGTCTTAGCACTCTTTATACTCTACAGACTTTGTCTAGGAAAACCCCAACCCCTCACATAGCTTTAGTGACCATAGGGGCTGATTCCTTATGTATCTGTCTTCCTAGCCCAGTCAGACTTCAGTTGACATTTTCATTTGCTGTCACAAAGGTACCTCAATCTGAAAATGTCCGTAACAACTCACCATTCCCAATACCTGCCTTTGGCACTACTTGTTAAATCTGCTCTTCTTCAGTAGTCCTCTCAATAAAAAACACAGCAATATTTACCCAGCTTCCCAAGCCAGAAACTAGCAAAGCAGATCGTTCTTCTGCACCCTCCCTACCTTTTCCTCTTCATTCAGTCAGTTACCTAGTTTTGTGATATTGCTTTGAAGTTCTCTCTCAAATATGCGGACTTTTTTCCATTTCCACTGCTGCGATCCTGACCCAGGCATACATCCTCAAGCTCCTGAACAACCCCAGTACCTTCCTAAATTGTCCTCTGTATCCTCTTTATCCCTCTGCAATATCTTCTCTACACTGCTGTTAGGGTGATCTATTTAAAATACAAACCTAATGTCATTCTCCTTCCATGGCGTATGGATGAAATCAGCGAACCCTTTACATGGCTTACTGTGCTCTGCATCTGGACTGCCTAACAAGCTTATCTGAGGCCACCATCCACTCTCTTTGTACATTCCAGTCCTTCTGTTCCTTTTTTCAGGTCCTCATCAAGCAAATATTATTTATTTATTTATTTATTTGGCTGCACTGGGTCTTAGTTGAGGCATATGGTATCTTCGTTGCCGCGTGCAGAATCTTTAGTTGCAGCGTGTGGGATCCTTAGTTGTGAACTCTTAGTTGTGGCACGCGAACTCTTAGCTGTGGCACGTAAACTCTAGTTGCAGCATGTGGAATCTAGTTCCCTGACCAGGGATCAAACCTGGGCCCCCTGCGTTGGGAGCACAGAGTCTTAGCCACTGGACCACCAGGCAAGTCCCCCATCTAGCAAATTCTTACTTAACTTTTAAATCTCAGCTGGGCTTTCCTGACTCCACATCACCCTCCACTTCCTGTTTTGTAAGAACCATGTTATTGAAGAGTCTTCAGAGCCTAGCCAAGTGCCTGGCCCATAATAAGTACTTAATAAATACTGGCTGAATTTCTTAGAGGCCTGGGGATTTCAACCTGGGTAACGGCATTATATATGATTATTCTAATTGTACAGTTATTAAGTTTAAGAAAAACAGGGCTTCTTTAACATTTATTTCTGTATCTTTCTTTTCTGTGTAGGTGAAGATGGTGGAACATGGTTTCTTGATCTTAAAAGCAAGGGTGGCAATGTCGGACATGGAGAGCCCTCTGATCGGGCAGATGTGGTGATGAGTATGTCTACTGATGATTTTGTAAAAATGTTTTCAGGTGAGTTTTAACTTCACTTGTTTACTGATTGTTCAAGGAAAATTCTATTAGGTAGGCTTCATTTCTACTAGTTGGACTAAGATATCACTTCCAATAACACATTGGTTACCAGAGGTGCTGAACTTAGCTGCAGCTTGTTTATCAAGAGTAAGATCATGCTTCAATCTTGCCAACTATTGTAATAGGAAACTGCAGCCATCTCCCATGGCCCAGTGACCCTGCTTTCTGTGGAATCCATCACTAAGAAGAGGGTCTGCATAATTTTCTGCTCTGCCCATGTATCTCTAAATGTGCCAGAAAAATTTTAAGGGTAATTTTTTTCTATTTTCTACTCTTAAAACACTACTCTAGATAGTAAGTTAATTAACACATGTACTTATTAGAAGCAGCACTTTAAAATTTTTTTTTAATTAATTTATTTTTGGCTGCATTGGTTCTTCATTGCTGCGTGCAGGCTTTCTCTAGTTGCGGAGAGCAGGGGGCTACTCTTTGTTGCGGTGGGTGGGCTTCTTGTTGCAGTGGCTTCTCCTGTTGCAGAGCTTGGGCTCTAGGTGCGTGGGCTTCAGTATTCGTGGCACGCGGGCTCAGTAGTTGTGGCTCGTGGGCTATAGAGCACAGCCTCAGTAGTTGTGGCGCACAGGCTTAGTTGCTCCTCAGCATGTGGGATCTTCCCAGACCAGGGATCGAACCCATGTCCCCTGCATTGGCAAGCGGATTCTTAACCACTGCACCACCAGGGAAGTCCCAGAAGCAGCACTTTAAACAAAAGTATTGTAACATTTTAATCTGAAGATCCTAAAGATTTATTTAATGAGTTATAAATGTTATTTATTCTTTATTCTGTTTTAATCTTCATAAATTGAAGATCATAATGTATTCTGTGCCCTGTAAGTCTCACTTTCCATTTCTAACCCAGGATGCTAATGGCCTACATACTATCTGAGCCAGTTTGTATGTGATGTTACTAATGATTGAGGTTTCTTCAACTTCCCCCCACCTTTTTTTAAACGGTAGTGCTAAATATTCAAGATACAAAAATTAGAAAATATGCTTAGGAAAAAAGAAAATAAATAAAATTATTTTTTATTGTACTACTGAAAGATAACCATCAGTTGATTTTTGGTTTAAAGTCATATATATATTTTTATGAATGTATATAAATATATAAGTGTACTTATAAAAACAAGATTATAGCATTACTGCTGTTTGGTAACTTTTTTCACTTTGTACTTAGTACATTATAAGTACTTAGTACTTAAAAGTACTAGTGTACTTAAAAGTACATTAAAAGTATTTAGTACATTATAACGTCTTTTAATGATAATGAATAGTTATCGCTTTAATCATTTTTTAAAAATAAATATATTGATTGATTGATTTTTGGCTGACTTGGGTCTTTGTTGCTGCGTGCAGGCTTTCTCTAGTTGTGGCGAGCGGGGCCTACTCTTTGTGGCGGTGCACGGTCTTCTCATTGCAGTGGCTTCTCTTATTGCGGAGCACGAGCTCTAAGCATGCGGGCTTCAGTAGTTGTGGCTCGTGGGCTCTAGAGCACAGGCTCAGTAGTTGGCACACATGGGCTCTAGAGCACAGGCTCAGCAGTTGGGGCACACGGGCTTAGTTTCTCTGTGGCACATGGGATCTTCCTGGACTAGGGCACGAACCTGTGTCGCCTGCATTGGCAGGCGGATTCTAAACCACTGTGCCACCAGGGAAGTCCCTCTTTAATCATTTTAATAGTTTCTTTAGTGTTTGTTTAGTGTTTCAAAATCTCTTTCTCTATAGGGCTTAAACATAGTGCTTTGGATGCTAAATACACGTTTTGTAAATTTGAACCTTATAAATATGCAATATTTTGAACTTAAAGACCTTTAAAAATAAAAAAAAATTATTGTCAATTTCTAAACAGAAATAACAGTAATTATAGCTAATACGTATATGATTACTGTTGAGTTAAGCAATATTCCCAATAATGGTTTGAGATAAAAGATTTTCTCTACTTTATAAAAAGGGAGACTGAAGTATTGCTTAATTAAATAATTAACCCAGAGTCACTTGGTGGGTGAGTCAATGTTGGAGTTAGAATTCGAATCCAAGCTAACTCGCCAGCTCATGCACTTCTAAATTATGCTATTTTGCCCTCCAAAGGTGAAAGAATCAAGTTACCTCCTTAATTTACGTTTTATTTGTGTAGCATAAACTTGTAATGGGCTTTCCATTTATATCTTTCTGGATAGGCTCCTGGATAGGCTAGGGGAGGTCAGTGAGCTAAATGAGTGATTTAAAAATATATATATATATATTCTTATAAGGTTTATTTTATTTTATTTATTTATTTTGGCAACGCCAAGTGGCACGTGGGATCTTAGTTCCTCAACCAGGGATCGAACCCACACTTCTTGCAGTGGAAGCGCAGAGCCTTAACCACTGGACTGACAGGACAGTCCCTTATAAGGTTTATTTTATAGCAGCAGTTCGGATTGGGAGCAAAAAAACTTTGCTTCTGCTTCTTACGTCTTTTCATTCTTATTCTTTATCCCATCTACTGTCTTTTGAATGGGCGCAATTTAGACCTTATATCCTAAACATACTCTTTTAAGAAGCCATAGCCATTTCTGTGACCTAATCTATAGAGTGGATATGTTATAAATATAAAAAATTAAAGCAACTAGTGATCAACTATTCAAAATCTCTCTTTTTGGCTAGTAGAGGCCACTGTATAGTAAAGCATTATAATAGAAAGAAAATATATTGTACAAGATTACCTGATTAATATATTGGGAAGAGAAATATATACACACACACATACATATAAAATTGTTCTTACTAGTAGTTTGTTTAAAAGTTATTTTTTAGAACAGTTTTTTTAAGGTATAATTTACATACCATAAAATCTACCCATTATTAAGTATATATGATTTTTAGTAAATGTATAGGGTTGTACAACCATCACTTATAATCCAGTTTGAACCAGACAAAGATGTCACAAAAAAAAAAACTACAGGCCAATATCACTGATGAACATAGATGCAAAACTCCTCAACAAAATACTAGCAAACAAAATCCAACAGCACATTAAAAGGATCATACCATGATCAAGTGGGGTTTATTCCAGGAATGCAAGGATTCTTCAATATATGCAAATCAATCAGCGTGATACACCATATTAACAAATTGAAGGAGAAGAACCATATGATCATCTCAATAGATGCAGAGAAAGCTTTCGACACAATTCAACACCCATTTATGATAAAAAGCCTGCAGAAAGTAGGCATAGAGGGAACTTTCCTCAACATAATAAAGGCCATATATGACAAACCCACAGCCAACATCGTCCTCAATGGTGAAAAACTGAAACCATTTCCATTAAGATCAGGAACAAGACAAGGTTGCCCACTCTCACCACTGTTATTCAACGTAGTTTTGGAAGTATTAGCCACAGCAATCAGAGAAGAAAAAGAAATAAAAGGAATCCAGATCAGAAAAGAAAAAGTAAAGCTGTCACTGTTTGCAGATGACATGATACTCTATATAGAGAATCCTAAAGATGCTACCAGAAAACTACTAGAGCTAATCAATGAATTTGGTAAAGTAGCAGGATACAAAATTAATGCACAGAAATCTCTGGCATTCTTATACACTAATGATGAAAAATCTGAAAGTGAAATTAAGAAAACACTCCCATTTACCACTGCAACAAAAAGAATAAAATATCTAGGAATAAACCTACCTAAGAAGACAAAAGACGTGTATGCAGAAAATTATAAGACACTGATAAAAGGAATTAAAGATGATACAAATAGATGGAGAGATATGCCATGTTCTTGGATTGGAAGAATCAACATTGTGAAAATGACTCTACTACCCAAAGCAATCTACAGATTCAGTGCAATCCCTATCAAACTACCACTGGCATTTTTCACAGAACTAGAACAAAAAATTTCACAATTTGTATGGAAACACAAAAGACCCCGAATAGCCAAAGCAATCTTGAGAACGAAAAATGGAGCTGGAGGAATCTGGCTCCCTGACTTCAGACTATACTACAAAGCTACAGTAATCAAGACAGTATAGTACTGGCACAGAAACAGAAATATAGATCAACGGAACAGGATAGAAAGCCCAGAGATACACCCACACACATATGGTCACCTTATCTTTGATAAAGGAGGCAAGAATATACAGTGGAGAAAAGACAGCCTCTTCAATAAGTGGTGCTGGGAAAACTGGACAGGTACATGTAAAAGTATGAAATTAGAAAACTCCCTAACACCATATACAAAAATAAACTCAAAATGGATTAAAGACCTAAATGTAAGGCCAGACACTATCAAACTCTTAGAGGAAAACATAGGCAGAACACTCTATGACATAAATCACAGCAAGATCCTTTTTGACCCACCTCCTAGAGAAATGGAAATAAAAACAAAAATAAACAAATGGGACCTAATGAAACTTCAAAGCTTTTGCACAGCAAAGGAAACCATAAACAAGACCAAAAGACAACCCTCAGAATGGGAGAAAATATTTGCAAATAAAGTAACCGACAAAGGATTAATCTCCAAAATTTACAAGCAGCTCATGCAGCTCAATAACAAAAAAACAAACAACCCAATCCAAAAATGGGCAGAAGACCTAAATAGACATTTCTCCAAAGAAGATATACAGACTGCCAACAAACACATGAAAGAATGCTCAACATCATTAATCATTAGAGAAATGCAAATCAAAATTGCAGTGACACATCATCTCACACCAGTCAGAATGGCCGTCATCAAAAAATCTAGAAACAATAAATGCTGGAGAGGGTGTGGAGAAAAGGGAACACTCTTGCACTGCTGGTGGGAATGTGAATTGGTTCAGCCACTATGTAGAACAGTATGGAGGTTCCTTAAAAAGCTACAAATAGAACTACCATATGACCCAGCAATCCCACTACTGGGCATATACCCTGAGAAAACCAAAATTCAAAAAGAGTCATGTACCAAAATGTTCATTGCAGC